GAAATGAAAGGATACTTCTTGTCTTACTCTCTTGTTTGAGTACATCAACATTGAAATTAGATAAAGATTACTGACATTAAGAAGATTCACAGGAAGAATCAGTTTCATTCCTTTTGTAAATTTTATCTCAATTCAGATTTTCTATTTTTCATGCCTTTATCAACAGCAAAAATTCATGTCTCCAAGTGAGTTGATTTTTTAAAAAATTCTATGTCCCTTCAGGATGTAGGCAACTATGGATATACCTTATTCACAGTTTTGAATTCAGAGCTGTCCTTCACTTACACTGGCTGCACTCTGCTATTTAACCCATAGCTAGAGGAGGAGAGAAGAGAGGCATTCAGGTTTTTCCCAAAGGCTTTAGTACAAAAGTGAATGAAAAAAAATAAGCAGAAATTTGAAATTGTCTCTGAGATTTCAGTTTCTTCACTGATAACCCTAACACTTTCACATACATTTAAGATAACATATTTATTTTATAAACTGTATTTTTTATCTTTAATTTTTATATTTCAGAAAATAAAATGAAATATTTCATGAAATTGTACATCAAGGCTACCTGACATATAATCTTTAAAGAATGGGCTAATTTTCCCCCAGATTTTTGTTAATGTCCTTCTGTTTGATTGGTATAAGAGAATATAAAGAGTTTCATTTTCAGACATTCTTTTAATTTTTTTTTAACTTAGTATTTATTTTTGATAGTGCTTGCCATGCCATTGCAATTATAATATCTATGTCCTTTTTGTGAAAATTTCAGTCACCATACCAGATATAAAAAAAAACATACACTTGATTTAGCTTGTCACATTTGACTGTCATAAGATCAGATTGATAAAAAGTCATGGATTTTGTTTTAATTTCATTTATATGGAGTTTAACTTTTGTATTGTAGAAGATTTTAATCTGAGAAGAATTAGTAGTGTTTGTTTAAGAGTGTTCAATGCAAGAACTAGATCATCTGAAAAATCTGCATTTGTAATGGTGATTTCTAGGTATCAACTACCTTTTAACACTTAAAGTTACATCAAATATTTATTGTTTTAAAAAAAATCTTTTTCTTTTATTGTCTTTTCTCACCACTAAAGTTTTTTCATTCACTTTCAACCTCAGTAACCCTTTGCATCTTAGTGGCAGTAGTGCCTTGCTTGGGGTGAAATAATTAAAGAAAAAATATAGGGTTGTGCTACAAAATTCTATCAGGAAATGATTTCATTATCTTACCATTCTTAATGTTTTTTTTTTATCAAGGCAATCATAAATTCTTACAAAGAAAAGCAATTCTGAAAAAAGTTTTCTAGTAAATTGTATACAGATGTCTGACAGATGTGGCTAAAAATAATACTACAAGTACTGGCGATGAGGCAAAAAGAAAATATTACTACCTCTGTCCCATAATTGTAGTTACATTTGTGTAAACATTTCATACACTAAATGTAGTATTTATTATGGGACAGAGGCTGTATAATTTATTTAATCATATCTCTGTCCCATAATTGTTGTTACATCTGCATACACATTTCATAAACTAAATGTAGCATTTTTTATGGGACAGAGGCTGTATTATTTATTTAAACCTACCTCTGGACCATAATTGTTGTTATATATACATACACATTTCATACACTAAATGTAGCATTTATTATTGGACAGGGGTTGTATTATTTATGTAATCCTACCATTGTTCCATAATAATTATTAACATTGCATGCACATTTACTTCACTTCTCATAGAGCATACTGACATCAAACGAGATAGAGGAAGGCAGCGAGCCATCTAGATAAGCTTGTGTGAATGAATAGTGGAATGAAACACTGCTAAGGGCAACAAACGATAGGAAGGTATGGAGATTCATAATCCCCCATGTTCTGAAGGGACACAGCACACTGAAGATGATTTGAAATTAGCCAAAAGTTACCAACTATGACAGACCCCCAAAGAAGGCTGAAACCTTGTGACTCTAACAACCAAGAAGAGGATACTAGTCAGAGTAACTTAGTGTTTATGATAATAATTTCTGATGTCATAAATTCAGACAAAAATTCTTAAAATCTTTAACTTCCATAAGGATTTTCAAACTACTGAACTAATTTCTTATGCTGCTTTTGTTGATATCAAAATGATCTAGAGTGAATGAAGCCTGTAAATCTTAGAGAGGACCATTTCTCTTTGAACCTTATGGACTGGCACTACAAAATCACGAGCAAAGAACTGTATCAAATAGCAGAAACCACATCAGTTGAGCAATAGTACGTCTAACTCAAAGAGAAAATAACAATGACATAATCAAGATGTTGTTATTCCACACTACTTCAAACAAAAGGTTAGGCAGGAAACCCTCTTCAATATTGGAAAGAGCAATAAAAGTTACTGGACTTGAGAAACCTATTTTCATGAAAAAAATGTTTTAATAGAAAGATTTTATAAATTTTGTCCGAAAGTAGCACTGGCTACTTGGTCGATGAATGCCAAATGTTTCTATTGAAAACACAAGTCATGTTCTTAAATAGCCTTGTCAGATTTAGACTTTCATATGGATGACATGCATGGTGCCAAACTTATTCAGAAAACTGTCAGCTGTATACAACTGCTTTCTCAGATCAATGGTTAAAAATGCCTTTGAGCAAGTGAAGCCTGTGAATATTTGTGTAAACCATCCTTCTTCAAACAAAGAACTGTACCAAATATCAGAAACCACATTAACTGAGGACCTTTGACAGCAGCAACAACTAATATGGATAGTACATGTAACTTGAAGAGAAAGTAACATCATAATCAAGATGTTGATTCTCAACACTATTTTAAACAAATGGTTAGGAAGGAAACCCCCATCATTACTGGAAATCATGAAAAGAGTTAATGGATTCCAGAAACCTATTTTACTGAAAAACTGTTTTAAGAAAAAGATTTTATAAATTTTGACTGAAAGTAGAACTGACTTTTTGGTTAATGAATGCTGAATGTTTATATATATATATATATATATATATATATATATATGACTAATGTTACCATTACTATTTGGCTGAACCATTCTATAGTTTTCTTCAGAAAACACCTGAAGAAAGAAAGAAAATGTCTGGTGGGTGAGCACAAAAGAACCTGGAAAAAGACCAAAAATTAATGGAAGTTATTATTCCAGTGAACAAAGCAAGCATATACAGCATGTGGTTTATGGCTGCTGTAAGATCCCCTCCAAGATAATATTGAAACTAGAGAGACCAATCAGTCTCTTAACTAGGTGGCACCAGCCCACAGTATTTTGTCTAATGTCTTCATGACTGAATCTGTCCATGCTTTTGTTCATAACTTTGAGAAGAACCAATAACATGCCCAATATTGTTCAGACAATTGAATCTTTCTTTCATGTCTTAATATACTTGCTGTTAACACATTTTCTTACAGAATACAGGTGACATGCAGGACAGATGAGCTGACATGATGTATTAACAACAGCAAGTATATGAAGAAGACATTCAATTGTCTGAACAGTATTGGTGAATTATTTAATTAGTTATTAGTTAGTCAGCCATCTTATAAATGCTAACTTTATCATATGTTTTTCTGTTTGACAATTTCTGTATGTCAGAATATTTTTGTCATTCATATCTCCAAATTGCTTTTCAGAATTTATAGTTGTCAAAACACTTGGAAAGTTATATATATATATATATATATATATATAGTGAGAGAGAGAGAAAAATTGTCAGAGAGTTAACTCTGCAAAAGTTATATATATATATATATATATATATATATATATATATATATAAAATGTATTACACAGTGAGTGCTGATGTTATATAACAGAGCTAAAGTTTATACTAATAATTAATATTTTTTTTTCTTTACTGGTAGCACAACACTGAGTTTCCTGCACAAGGTAATCATCAGGTACTGATTGTTAACAATTACACCATTCATGAAATTTGGAGTGAGGAAAAAATGTACAGATATACCTCACCATATTGGTTCCAGAGATAACGACTTAGGTCGAAAAATGAATTAAATTGAAATAACCATGCTATAAACCACAAATAAGTTCTCTCTATTGCCTATTAAAGTATTTATGATATGTGTGTACAGTATTCTGGATAAAATAATTAATTTCCACCTCATCTTCCAGCAATATAGCTTTACGCTTAGTATTAGCACTTGCACTGGGACTTTTCTTCAGAGCCATGGGATAAAATGGATTCTAAATCACAATTGAAATGTAATTGAAAGAATGGCAATGGTAGAGCACAGATGTAAACAAATCTGAAATCAAAATTGGTGTTCGATTGGATGACAGCTCACGAGTGCAGCATGTCAGTAGAAATTTGAAATAAGAACATCTGCTGAACATACTTTATAATACTTTTTTGATTCTAATGATTTTATTATATATATATATATATAATTTTTAACTTAACTTCAATATGATTTTATATGTGTTTCTTGTGTTTTGCTGTTTTTAATATTTTAAATGGCTAATGTAATACTGAGTAAAATGATCTAGGGTGAGTTTTATTTTTCCATATAATATTTAAGAAAAATCGACGCATCATCAAAAATGAATTAACTAGAAACAATTTAAGTTGAGTTATTACTATATATATACATATATATATACCCTCTGGTATAACAATAACAATGACTGTGTTTCACCTCCCCTGAGAAAAAAAAAATTCTCGAAGATAATTCTTTTAAGGAAAATTGTCTTTCTAATTAAAGTGTTCAATATCAAGAGATAGAAAACATTAATGATTGATTGATTCATTCATTCATTTTTCTATGGCTTAGGTTATTTAAACCCAGAAAACTGTAAGATTTTTTGGTGGAGATAATGATTCATTGATACAATTCCTACTATTTAATCAATAGTGGAGAAAAGGAGAAAACTTTTCCCAATGGTATTTGTATGTAAGTGAATATAATGAACTCAAGAAGAATTGTAACTCAGCTTTCAGATTAACAATTCTGTACCATTATCCATTACACCACCTGCACATCTAAGCTTACAGCACCTTGTATTCCCAAGCTGTCACCCATCTAGGTACTAACCAGGTTCAATATTGCTTAACTGTGGTGATCGGATGGGAACTGGAGAAATGGTAACAAATAAATTGAATATTCAATTTATCTGTCACTTTTCTGTTTTGTGCTGATCTATGCACTTGTCAGAGTGTGTTGATAGTAATAATTGAATTTTTACTATCAAGAAAATGTGCCTTTTGTCCTGTAGATATTTATTTCACTGCTTAGAAACAAGAGAAAAAAAATTCCAGAATGTCTACTCAAATAAATGTACCGACTAAATATAAAATTTATAGTAATAAACAATAATGTCAGATTAAAAATCCATTAGTTACTAAAAGCATACATGTGCATGTGTAAGTGTGCACACCCATATTGCAAATGTATATTTTTGGGATGCATTTTTTCTGTCTATATTTCTGAGATGATGTATTGTAATTATTTACACTGTCCAGACTGTTATCCTCAAGGACACATGGCCTAGTGGATAAAAATTTTGATTGGATCCAGTGACTTGACCCAAAGAGTTGTGAGTTCAATACCTGGTTACTTCCAATGTGAACAAAAACTTGGAGAGTTGAGTTAAAGGGAAAGAAGTAAATCATCTAGAAGAGGCATGACACATGGAACTAGAACAATCTACTCCAATAGATGAAATAAAGGGTTCAGTTTGAAATTCCAATCACCTGAAAAAGACCGTATTGTACAATGGCCAAAATGTTGTGAATATAGCAACAAAGATGAGGACAACAGCCTGAACAATGTAAATAGTGTAAATAATTGCATTTTTTCATATGACAAGAAACTGTTATGACTCCATTCAATGGGATACTCTGACATACATACATACACACATATATATATATATATATATATATTGTTCTTGTTTTCCTTTCCCTTGTTTTTCAGACCCTCAAGAGCATACAGATCATCAGAGACAAGGGTTTCAGAGAACAAAAGATATGAGGGCCCCAAAGAGAGAATCAGCACAAAAGAGAATGCTTTGTATTTCCAGCCTCGGGATAGGAAAGCTAATTTCAGTTGGTGGTCTCTGTTAAAGACACCCTAGTGGCCTCTGTTTTTGCAGATGATGTAGCTGTAAACTTTTAAGGTTGCTCTTGTTACAGTCCAAGTGTGGCAGTTGGATAGGGGCTTGGGTATGGTGGGAGTGCAAAGCAAAGAGGCAGGGAAGAAGACAGTTGGGATACATCCTACATCTGGCTTTTTTGTAAGCTTTGTTCATATGAATATTAGTACAGAAGAGACAAATTGGGACCTAGCTATACAATGTCTATCTGTGGTTAGATGATCTTTCTTATTTATATAAGATTAATTGATTTGTTTTTTTACAACTTATCAACCTTTTACAGGTTATTTGAGCTCAGAATATATTTTTTTAAATTGTAAGAATATATTCTATATTCTTATAAGAAAAATATTTATGATAAAAAAAATGACTTTTCAGAATTTACAAAAAATACACAGGGAGTAACTTTCTAGAAATGCTTTTACCACTTCCTACAGCAAAAAACACATCCAGGTCATTTTCAGTGGTAAAACTTTGCGGGTTGTGAGCACACACTCATTCAGAAGTAAGAAACCCAAAATTTTGTTTCTAAAATATTTCAAATGAATCTCAAGGTGTTAATGCCTTACAGGGCTAACAAAAACAGACATTTATTTTTTTAATAACTGCCATGTTTATTTACTTAAATTTAATAATGTTATCATTAAATTTAAAATAACTTTATCATTAAAAAAACATTTTTTTGCCAGCTGTTATTCATTTAACAAATCAAAGATATACTTACAGCTTGATAAGTATAGATACATTTTCAGTTGGAGCCTTTATATTGATCAATTCAAGTTGAAAAGTAGAAAAAATTTAAAAGATTAGGTTTGTGCTTTTATTGTACATTCACTCTCTAGCTTTCAAAACAGAGGATTCTAGGAACAGTTTTGCACACTTAACTGTCTGGATCAGTGATTCTCAGCCTCCATGCTGCAGTACACTACGATACTATGAAATATTGTCACTGCATACCTATATAAGTGTGTGCGTATGTGTAAGTAGTAATGGTGCAGCATTAGTATTTGAATAAATGAATAAGTATTAAACATTTTTTTCAAATACTTCTTTTCACTATTCTTTGATTATATTATTTTAGATTGTTTTAATATTCATTTTTGAAAATACCCTTTAAAAATTTTGCTAAGTATGCTGTGGTATTTTAATTTGCTTCTAGGTGTGCCGTTGCTTAAAAAGGTTGAGAAACACTGGTCTGGATAGTGTAGTAACAGATGATAAAAAATACAAAGAAGTATAGGAATAATGAAAGATGCCTTCAAGAAAGCAACCCAAGTATTAGGAAATAAGAAAATGCCACTTGAAACAAAGAAAAGTTTGCTGAACTTCTATATAATATCTAATCTCCTATATGACTGAAAATGCTGAACAATCTTCTAAAAGATGAAGAAAAGACTGGTGATGAGTGAGTAGTGATTCTGTTGATAAAAGCTGATAAAACCATGAAAGCTGCCTTCGAGAAACTAAGCCAAGTATGGCATTTGAAACAAAGAAAAGTGTGCTGAAATACTATGTAATATCTAATTTCCTATATGATAGTGAATGTTGGACAACCTCATCAAAGATGAAGAGATTTGAGAGGTGGTTCTACTGATGAAAGCTGAAACTATCACAAACAGATCAAATGAGTCATGAGGAAATTTTAAGGAAAACAAAAACAATAAGAAAGTTGATATTGATAATCAGAAATGTCTGAGACGCATAATGATGAAAAAAGGCTTGAAAAATTTAACACTCACAGGACATATTGAAAGTAAGAGGGAAAACCTGCAAAATATATGGGAGTAACTGACTTAACAAGTTTGTATGAATCGATGTCAGGATAAAGAGGCATGGTAAAGGTTCAAAGAGTTAAAAGTTACTCAGAGTAATAAAAGACATGAAGTTGTGGAGAGTCATAATCACTCACATCCTGAAGACAAATGCCACATAAAAAAAATTATAATTCATTAAATCTTCTGTATAAAAGTGATAATTCATGAGAAAATAAGATAAAATGTTCTATTTGTGAGTTCTTATTGTATGGTTTCAAGCTAAACTGTTTGTGGTTTATATTTGTGGTTTTCAAGATATTTCTTGCTAGAATTTAGCTCATGTATGCTACAAAAATTAATAAAGATCTATTGCCTGATATGATATTTACCAAGGAAGAGCCAGCTGGCAATAACATAGAAAGCAAAATTTTATAGTTATCAATCACTGACAACAGAATCAAATTATGAACAAATTGATAACAGTATTCAACTAAGTCCCAGCATTAAGTTTTCCCAATGCCTGACACACTCATTCACATGATATTAACCAAAAGAATTGTAAGCAAAATCTGACAGACAATCACAGACAAGAATCACATAAATCAATGGTATGTAATAAGGTAATGTAACTATGGTAATGCTGGCAATAATGGCTCTTCACAATTTCCTATGCTTTATAGATCCTAGTAAAATTTGTCTTTTTAATGTCTCCTGTATCCGCTATCTATTCACACATTCTTATAAGGTACATGGCCTATGCATAATTTAGCGTAGTCTTATTCTTTTATATACTGTATACCTTCGGTATGTGGACGATCATTGTTCTTCACAACTTCCTATTCTTTGTAGCTCTAAGCAAGATTTGTCTTTTTACCATTTCCCCCACCCATGTTTCTACCACACCTACTTATCAAGTAGGTGGCCTCTGTATTATTTAGCCTAGTCTTCTTCTTCTATCTTCAGAATGTGGGTGATCATGGCTCACCATAACTTTCTATCCTCTGTAGCTCTTAATAAGATTTGTTTTTACCATCTTTTCCAACCCTGTTTCCACCACCTTTTCACACATACTTTTTGTTGCTGTATAAATGTTTTTTTGGATTAATAGTGTCCGGCGTGCGTAGTAGGAATTTTTCAATATTTTTCCTGACTAGCTCTCAATTGGAAAGTGTGTGTAAATGTGAGTTTTGTATATATATACAGTCTTGTGTTTCCATTAGCAGGAGTTAAAAAAAATAAATCACGTCAGGAAGTCACCAATCTGTGGGTGAATGTGTTGTTAATTTAGGAACACGTGAATTTTATTCCTGCTAGATGGTCCACTACAAGAACATGGTGAACTTGGAGATTGAATCCACCATAAAGAAGTGTAAAGAAAACCAACAAGTCCGATATATATATATATATCAACAAATATATGTATTAAACAACAACATTTACATAGACACTAACATTTGTGTTTGTGTGTGAACGTAAAGGGTTCGTATTTTGGTAAATGTTCCGACGTATGCGTATGTGTGTATAATGTTCATGGCATCTCCCACAAATGGGAAGATGCATTCTTCCACGAGAGCTTACATTGTGGATGTGTTTTCTGAAAATGAAGAAATGACAAAGAGAATTTACCTCACCTCCATGCAAGGTAGGATGCGGCACGAGGCCTGAAGAAAAGAGTACGAGGCAAGAAGTCATCCAGTATTTATAGTGTAGGGAGAGCGCCTCCTAGTGAACAATTTGAACAATTAAGGAGGAGTTAACTCTGACATACTCATCAGGGAGGTGGCCTATGTATTGTTTAGAGTAGTCATCTTCTTCTATGTGTTGTATACCATCAGGAATTTGTGGTCCCAATTGCTTCTTGAAACCTTGGTATTCCTCTGCTAGTTGAGAACAACCAAATCAGTTTTAATTATTAAAATGTAAATGATCAGTCAAATTATTTCGGTTTGACTTCATTTGATTAAATATTTTCTATGCAATTTAATGGATAACTAATAAACTAAGTTAATATGATTAATTTAGTACCAGATGAAAAGAGACATTTGCTGTCATTGAATTATCTGGTCAAATATTTAAGTCTCCAAGTTAACTATAGCAACCTCTTCACCAAATTTGAGACTATATCTTTGTCATCAGTAAAACTGAACTTGTGGAAAGAAAGTTGAAAAGGAAGACCACATGTCCTCCACATGCTTGTACTTGGAATTAGGAAAAGCCAAAGCATAAAAGAAA